GACCCTCTGGTCAGGAAGACCTCTCCCCCCAGCTCTCTGACATTTCCTATGGGCTACCAGGAGGCGCGGAGGGGAGGCAAAAAGTTTTTCCTCTGCAGAACTGTAACTTCTGTGAGTTCCCTCGCTTTTCTACCGCGTGATGCTCCTGAAGCCTAGGAGCTCTCGTTTCTTCCTCTTCCCTAACCTCCCCTTTGAAAACAAAATCATTCACACAGTGATGATGAATTAATTGTGTTGCTGCAGGAAGAGCTCTCAGGCATCAGAAATTAGGAAGTGAGAGAACTGAAGCTGTTCATTCAACTTCAATTAAGTCCCAGAGCATAATACATTACAATTGTCTTTACTCTTCATTAACACAGCCTTGGGCTAACTCTTACACAATCTAGCCAGTACATTTTTTCAACAATACATTTTACAGATGAGGCTGGTATTACTACCTATCACTAAGATTGCCCAATACTTCTCTGAGACCCTGTTTTCAGCTGCTTATCTCTCTCTCAAGCTTTAAGATGTGGGATGAAGTTTTCCAGCCCTGGGCCCTTATGCATTTTTCCAATGCAAAAGTCATGGAGAAAGTTTCTACCGAAATATTTCTCCCATTTCTAAATATCTGGCTAATGAAAAATACACTATCTTGCCCAAGTTAAAAATTCTGGTCACCTTTGGCTGGGCTGAGACTTCAAAGCTTGCAGGAGGCAGACTTTAAGATAAGGCCACCTCTGCCACAACAGAAACAGCTTGAAAAACGACAGCACCTCTAACTTCTGCAAAGACTTAAATCTTTTAGTGATTAAGTTATCCAGAAGCTCCTTTTGTCCCAAGTGTGCCCTGACTCGGGGGGCGAGTGAGACTCTCCTTAGCAGTCTGTGCTGCTGTGGGCTGAGACCAGGAGCAAAGGGAAGAAAGCTCGTCTCTACCCAGTGCCGACAGACTCTTGGAAAGGATGTGACCAGTAAAATGTTAAGAGTTCTTTGTTATTTGGGAAGAGTGATTTCCACCCCCACCCCCCCCAAAGGCATATATACTCAGCCAAATTTGAGAATATTTTCACCAGGATGGGAAAAAGCACATTTCTGACAAAAACCGATCTGCTGAATTTCAAAGAGAAGGTGTAAAGAAATTTTCAATGCAAAAAACAACATCTTTTTTTCTTCTGACTACTTAAGAACTACTAAGCTGTTTTGGCAGGTATTTTCTTTCAGACTGAAACAATCAGGATAGAAAAATTCAGCACAAGAGATACAAGTTTGTCCAATCCACAAGATGCTGCAAAAGGGCCTTACATTAAGAATCATTGGGATGCCTGAGAAAGCTTCAAATATCTCCTATAATAAAGAACAGGAGCTTTAAGTGTGTATCAGTAAACATCAAATTAAGAGAATCCAAAAAAACTCCCAAGAGAGCAAAAAAAGCCACATATTCCCCCTTAAATGTGGTTGTGCACAATATGCTCGCGACATGCTCAGAGTTAATTAACGTGGGCTCTACCAGACCAAGAAGAAAGAAAATTCCACCAGAAAGACACCCAACTGTGACTTTTCTTCTGTCCCTACAAGCCTTCACAAACATCCCCAGCATGCAGACTGAGCATGGGAAGAGTCAGCTGGGATCCCGATTCAAACAGAGTTTCACAGGTGAAGCAGCAAGGCACCAGCCAGCAACCAGAAAGAAACACACAGAGAGGTGCAGCAGGAAAACCCATGGGTGTAATTCCCCCTGTGAGGAGCAGCTTTGCAAGCATCTAGCCTTGCGGGACCCTCTGAACATGACCCTCTGAACATGACCCTCTGAACATGAAGGCGTCTAAGGAACAGACTACTGAGGCAAGGCCTGCATCAGAAAGGGATACTCAAAATCTCTTTGCTGGCAAAAATGAAGGGTGAGGAAGGGAAATCCTCTTCCCTGTGACCAGGGAATCAAGGCACAGCTAGGTATCTTGCAAGGTCCCAATGACGTAGTCCTTGTGGCCCATGTGTTGAGCTCGCTTGCCCTCACCTAAGAGCTGAGTATTGTCAGCAGCATGCTATCACTGCAACCCAGACCATGCTGAAAAAGAGCAAGAAAGGAAAAGATCCTTGTGACTGCACAGAGAAACTCTTAGAGGAAATGAAGAACTGCCCTGAGCAACTCCCTGGCATCTCCAGAAAGACAGAACCCAGCTACTCAACAGTTGATCAAAACCCAGCGAACACCTCAAATACAAATACACCACCAAGGGCTACCTTGGCATCTCCCTTCTGACAAGTGCCAAAATACTGTGGAAACAACATCAGAAGTTTATCTGGAGCTTACCAAAATGGGGAACATGGTCTAGTGATGGAAGACTGCATCGTTAATCAGATGGCACAGGAACAAAGCAATGAGCTCTGCTGAGGCTATCTGTTCTAGGTCTGGATTTTGGTGGTACCTGAGCACCACTTGCTTCTGCCTTCAAAGAAGACTTCCAAAGGACTACGCAGGGATTTCTGCAGGCTGCGATGTGCTCTGTTCTGCTTCACAGCAGCAGAAGCAGGTGCCAAGCTTGTGAGACTCCCCCTAAACTTTACATTTACTCTCTTCTCCTTCATTCTACATGCCTCCCTGGCCCTCCCCTGCCACCGTAAGGGCTATTTGTGTTTCCATTCCTCACCTCACACTGCCATTCCCTCACTCTCATCATTATCCTTGTCCTGCCAATCACCAAGCCAGTCCGTCAGGCTGTAATTTCTATAGCTGTAGCACAAGAAGTTCACAGACAATGATGGTTACAGAAATTCCTCTCATCCCCATCTCTTCCTATGGTCCTGCCCTGTGCCACTGTGCTCAGCTCTCCCAGCTGTTTGTGAGGCTGATCTTGGAAATCTATCAGTTAACTGATCCGGTTTACAAACCAAGCAAGCCCCCTGACCCCCCAGCTCCGAAACAACAACAAGTGGTCCTTCCCCCCATTTCTTTAAGCTGGATTAGTTCCAGGGTGGGGTTTGAAACACAAGGATATGAGCAGCTGTGTGGGCATACATCAGCAAAAAACAAGCATGAAAACAAGCAGGAGCCAAGCAGTAACAACTTCACCCAGCATTGTCATACAACAAGGAAAATCACAGCAGAGGGGCATCAGCCTTTCAGACACTCCATGGAGTTGTACAAGAAGCTCTTAGGGGCTAGCACCAACCACTTTCCTTATTCTGTGGATACTCACAGTCTTGGCTGAAGACAGCACCTTTGCTAACAACATGTCAGTCTCTCCCTAAATCCTTGTCTTTCTCTGCCTGGTTTTCTAATGTCCCTCTCACATCTGCTCACTTGTCTTAAGAGTCCTCCCAGACATTTGCTGGATGCAGCATCCAAAAGTTATTGTGTTACATCCCATCAGACAAACATCCAGGGAGAAAATTTCATTCTGCCAGTAACTACCAATATCAGTACCGATAACGGATAATTCTTCTTATCCACATAAATGAAGTAAACTTAATGGATTTGCCCAGTCTAAATGTACAAATGAGCTTTGTGCATTACTTGCACCAGACCATGCAGTCTGAATTGTTACATAGGATTCTTCTTGCACGCTCCTGCTGCTTACTGTAACGTATCACCACTTTGTTTCTCCATACTTGTAAAGCAGACACGAAAGAGCAATTACCTGTGTTAAAATTTTCATTTACGCTGAAATCAGTCTATATTAAATTTCTGCAGCTACTTGATTTAAATTATAAGCATTCAGAATTGGAAATGTTCCTTTCTCTGTGCAAAACCCAGTTCCAATCAAAAGAAATGGGAAGCCCCAGAACTGCACTTGAAAATTAGGCTCAATCTGATTGAAAGAAAAAAAGAAATAGTGAAATTCTTCCCTTTTTGTTAAACTGGACTATTCCTTTTTAACGAAAATGCAGAATATTTGTTGGAAAAAACAAACCTTCTCTTGACAATGTTATCACAGATCTAATTATTGCACAGTGTATTTACTCTGCAAAGTAAAAGCAATAAAAAGTTTTATAGTTAGCACATGTTAAGGACGATGCATTGGAAACTGATACTTTTATGGTAAAAAAAAGCATTACCTTATTAGTGGCCTGCATTTCAGAAAGCCTCACTCATTTTCTTTCCTTTTGAGTGAATTTCATCACAGCAAAACATGCCAGCTTCGGAAGCTATGAAACTCCTGTTTATCCACAGACCAAGCAGTTTGGATGTGCAGGAGCCTAAGCTCTCCCCACAGTGTCCCACCAACACGGGGGGGGCACGGCAGGAGAGGCACCACCCCTCGGGGAAGGCACTCTTGAGTGCTCCCTTCAGGCCTCCCAGCTTTCTGCTGAGACTGCCAAGCAGAGCTGTCAGGTTTGGGTTTTTCTGATGTCATCACTAGAAGCCAACCCCAGACCAGCAAACTCACTTTTGAGTGAGTTTGAGCACCACTGAACTGCCACCAGATTCACCTCTCCTGCTGATGACAGGACCTTCTGACAAGCCAAGAAATGCCCTTCATGGGGCGAGCTTAGTGAAGTTGCAGACAAAAACTCAGACAGCCTGGGTCCCACCTGCCTCACATTGTGCCAGTGCCGGAGGATTAGCTCATTATTCACTTCCCTTAAGGATTTTTAAATGATACCTCGATGAGGGCAAGAAGAACAGTTTCAAGGTTGCGAACACAGGACCGGCGCACGTACCGGTTTACCCTATGCCCCAGGGGATGCTGTCTGCCTGCTCGCCCCATTGCCCGGGGTGGTACCCAAGGTGGCTCCCCCCTATAACAAGTCTGACCATCAGCCAGGGCAGGCAGAGGAGGCTCCACCCACCAAGCTGCTGAACAAAGCACGAATGAAAAATGATCCCGGGAGGCCAAGGAGCTTTGGACATCCGAAGCACTGCAACCAAGGTGCCAGGTCCACGCCTGCAAACTGCTTGCTCCAGGAGCACCCCCATCCTTTGCTCCACTGAGCTTTCAGGATCAGGCCAGGTTTGATGGCCTGGTTCTCCACCGCATCCTCAGAAGTGAAAGGAGAAGAGGAATGTGGGACACTCACCACATCTGTGTTTGTGATCTTGGCCAGGAGGTCCGTGAGGCTGTCCCCGTCATCAAGCTGAAGGCCACAGATGGCTGCTCCCACACTTCCAGTTGCTATCATTGACGGTGGGTACATGGCAAAGTTAAAATCTGCAAGAACAGATCTGGGAATTAGTCCAAGCGCAGACCAGAAAAGCTGCAAAACATCAGAGGCAAGCAACACAAAAAAACCACACCCAAGAATAAAAAACGGGGAAGCAGAAGAAAGGGAAAAGTGCCACCCTTTTTGGTCCAGCAGAGCTCATTAGTCACACTGCTCATCACAAGCAGTCAAAGGAGGGGTAACAGATCTGCAAATTAAAATGGAAATGCGGTTCGGTCTTTTATTCTCACTGATGCATAAAGTAAACCTGGACAATTTTTAATAGTCTTTCCTTAGTTTTAAAGAAAAGGAAAAAGAAGAAGGAGGCTTTCTGTAATTTATGTCAGAAATTTGGGTCTCGGTCACATTAGAGCTCTCTCTATAACCGGAAAACTAACTGGAACACGGTATCACAAAGGACCAAACTGAGATTTTTAGTCACGTCAATTTTTAAAGACTTAATTAACTCAAGCGTTTAAAGACCTGTCCAGGAAAGAGATTTTAATTAACAATTCATCTTTACCACCTTTGCAATTAGGAAGTAAGAACACTTACAGCCCACAGCTATGTAATCAAAGAAAAAACAAAGATCACATTTGTCATTACTACTATTTCTTAATAAACAAGTTGAAAATACATTTCAAAATTTCCTCTCACACATCTGTGGAGATCAGGAGAGAAATGAAAATTAAACTAAATGTTCTCGTTACCTTTATAAGGCCATTTTATGGTTTATGATACTGTCACAGGCACTGGCTTATCAGCAGGTCTTACTAAATACCATTTCCAGGAGCTTTTTTTGGTTACTGCTATCTTCCTAAAATGAAACTTGGTTTGCAAGTTGTTTGGTACAACAATAACTCATTAACAAACCCTTCTCTACCAGTTTTCAGTTGGGGTGACTGGAGAAGAAGAAAAAGGAATCCCAAGTAATACTTAATATGAAATAAACCACAATCAATATATTCGGTCTATTTATAGAAACAGATTGTTACAGAAAACTGCCCTTCTGTTAAGGGCAGATCCCAAGTCCTCTCTGTTTGGCTAGCATAAATTCTGTAACCCTGTTATGTCTGCGTAACCACTCAAATTTTAGACACATGGAGAGTTGTTCTCAGCCTCCCAGACTCTGAGCTGGTGCATACTGCAATAGCTGTGGAGACAGCATGTTCTTCTCCAGGCTGGAATACGTCCCTGGGACCCATGAGGAACGAAGCAGTCAGTTAAGGCTGGGACTTGGGTCATAGCATTCATCCAGACGGACTGGAGGGGGGATGTTAGAAGTGGGGATAGAAAAGGAGGAACTGAAACCCTGACATGGATTTACCTGTCTCACAAAGCCACCAGGAGATGACCGCCTGCAAGCCCACCATTGCACACTGCTGAAGTTCACTCTCCTTCCTACCAGGAGAGCTCAGCCGACATCACACTCTGACAAACACTGCTGAAGGAGCAAATTCCCACCAACAGAAGCAATGAATATGGACTGCCATTACTATAAAAATAATAACTATGCACTACTGTAATAGTAAGAACCCACTGTACATAGAAAAGCTGATCATCGTGGAAATTAAGTTGTATTGCCCCCACTATGGGTGAGTCAACAGGAGAGCCTTGACTCCTACTTATCAGTGTGGGATACAGCCCTGAGGATGCTGATCTCAGCACATGTCGAGGCAACGGGAATTGCACTTTCATGATCAAAATCGCCTTCCCATTTACCACACACATGCAAGGGCTAGCCCCATCCAGCCTGTGAATGGATGACCAGGGAAAATCGATAAAGCTACCTGACACACAGCACATGCACCCCCCACAGAGCCTGCCCTCTCCCCAGTGCCTGTGGTTGCACATATCATCAGGCCAGACCTTCAGAGCAGGCCATAAATACAGTGGGATTTTAAGCCCTCATTTTATGCCATTTTGCCTCTCTTCTTACTCACTGCTACTGATGGGGGGCCCAGGACTTGGGTCTGGGTGACTGTTGCAGTAGCTCATTCCTGTGGGTTGATCTGGTAGCTAGCAGCTCCACGGAAGAAGTATGATCAGTGGGCCACCAGTTTAAAAAGTCCAATGGGCAACCAGTTTACAAAGTCCAATATGAAAAACAGGAATGGTTAAATGACTCCAATAACAAGAGGTTTTTATAAAGGTCATAAATGTTTATGTGCTTGCGTGACTGTCCAGAGTGTCCTCCTGGTCCATGGAGCAAATAACCAATGTCTATAAAATTTAAAAATGTTCAAACATTTATGGAAGAGACCTAGCGTCCCCCCAAATCTGCTGTCATCTACACAGAGCGATTCATCAGCAAACCCACTAATTTCTTTAGAAAAGGGATAAATTAAAGCAGACTACATCTCCACAGGTCTGTTTCTCCTCTTGTACATGCCGCATTTGCTTGGGTTTGCGAATCCTGTGTGCTTGCATTGGTGTGAATGAGGTTGCACTTAGTCAACGTGGCCCTAAGTTGGGATGCGACTCCTGCATTTAGATCTTTGGACTTACCGAACCGTCTCCCAGTTATGCATGGGAACCATGGGAACTACGGGTGGCAATGGACTTTCCACAATTTACCCCTCCTTGTCTCAAGTTTCAGGGAAGATGTAGTAAAAAGATGACGCAAAACCTCTCAAACTCTACCGGTGTTTGGACAGTCCCTATGGAAGCTACGAGGCAGTGGGTAAGAATGAAAACCCACCCCCTCCCACCCATCATTTGAGCCAGCAGCAGGGAGAAACAGACCCACTCGGAGGTCCCGGATGGACCCACACCCTCAAGCGTGGTCACTGAACCCCCACAGAACAGTTTCACCCAGCCCCAGGCAGCTGGTGGGGAGACCCAAGCAACAGGGAGCTCCCATGTCTTGCACTCAACGCTCAGCACCGGCCAGGCACAGCAGGCTGAGTGAAGGACACAGCTCCAGCCTGCCCTCTGAACTTCCTTGCCTCCTAGGGGCTTGCATCAGGACCTCCACATTATCCAAATGCCGGTTTTCTCGTGGTTGATTTTATATCTACTCCCAGAAACCGTCTTCCTAGGAAGCTGAATAAAGAGCCACAGTGCCCCTGCCAACTAGCACTGCTGTAGGTCTGCTTCCACGTGGGGTCACATGAGAACATTTCTATGCCCAATAACCTTGTTAGTTCCCTTAATGTCATTCATAATGCAAATGAGACAGCGAGCGAATGGCCAGAGGCCCAGAGTGACTAAAGCTCAGCATCCAGAAAGTCTTACATTGCCTCTAGCTCTAAACTAACTTCCCTCCATAACAAGCACCATAAACTTGGCTATCAAAGCTACACATGCCCAGTCTTTGTTGTACAACAGGCAGCGATTTGTATCACTGGCTTCTATTTTTAGCATATTAATTAACTACTGCAACTGGTGAGGCAAGTGTCTCCAACTGGAGAGTGTGGCGCCATTGTCTGAAGTCATCACCTCATCTCGCGCTATTGAAAATCATGGCAGTGACCCTCCTGCTGATATGAATTTAACCTGACATACCCACAAAGGGATGGGGGGTGGTGCACCAATTTTGTGCACATGGTTCTCCACATCACCCTGGACCCTATTAGTGTGGAAAGAGCTCATTGAAAGAAAAGAAGCCACATTGTGCTGGGCCACCTAGAGGGTTGAATAGAAAGGCTGAGGAAAAGAGCAGGCAGCGGAATAAAGGCCGTCATTAACATATTTCCATATTCAAGCAAAGCAATAACTACGTGAAATGTTTGTCAAGGTGCAATGAAAGCATAAATATTAAGTACCGTATCTGAGGAGATGCAGAACCCCCCTTGAGTCCCTTACATTCCATCAAGAAATTCAAAACAAGCTTTCTACATGTTATTTTCAACTATAAACCTCTATCCCTGCTTCCCCCGTGATAACAAGCCAAGTCCTGCCATCCTTGCTCAGTTTTCACCCAGGTAAAACTGCCCCCAGCATGAAGTCAAAAGCTTGCCCTGGGATTTAAAAAAAAAATAAATAAATAAATAAAAGGGGGAGAGAGAGGACTTAAACATTTAAACCTGAAACATATACTTTTACTTTAAACTCTTGTTGGAGATGATGAGCCCCGAATTACAGAGGAAATCTTACAAAAATCACTTCTTACTGGACACCTGAAGCAAGGCTATGGGCTAAATCCTTCTTTCGGACCTATGTGCAGCCTTGGTTAATGGGCACCCAGAGCCTGCACTGAAGACACAGCTCTGCCTCTAACTTTGTTGTGATTTACGCAATTCCACTGTAAAGTACAAAAGAGTCTCGCAGAAAGTCAGAGGAGTAGTGCAACAACGTGTAGTCTAGGAGAATCTGAGCACAAGAGCACTTTGGACTTGATGATCTCAGAGGTCTTTTCCAACCTTAACCATTCTATGGTTCTATGATTCAAGGGAAGAACTGGGTAGTCAGAAAGCAGGACTTGTTTCACCTTCTATTCCCAGGCAATGAACACCAGAAATTGTCCTACCCCCATTTTTGTATCAACTTTTCCCTAAAGGACCTTAAAAACAAGGGACGAACCTTGCACAACCCCAGTGACTTCAGTGCTGGAAATAAAAAAAGCCGATAAAAGAAATAGTGCCCTTTGAAACACAGCCACCTCTGGACCAGCCAGCCAGAGTCATCAAGCAAATTCAGGGTACCCTGAATCCGCGCCCTGCTTTCAGACTGGAGCTCACGCTGACAGCCAGGGCATGAACGTATGCACATGCCCAGGACGTTTTTCTGCCCGCACGGCACACGTAACCTATGGTCAGGTTCTAGGACCCTGCGCACTGCGGCCGAGCTTTTTTGCTGGCTCTCTCCTGATCCAGTGGACTTCACTACCTCTGAGCCAGGAAAATGCGAGGTTGACAGTCAGTCTAAAGCAGGAGGGAACTGGAGGCAGGAACCCAGAGAGGTCCTGCAAGGGGAAGCCCTAACTTGCGGCCAATAAATGAAAACTGCCGGAAGGAAAAGAGGACTGACAAATATCCAGGCTGAACGTGCTCAGTGTGCCAAAGCC